CAGGGCGGGGGGGGAGGGGGAGATTAAGGGCTTTTGGTTTCGTTTTGCTTTTTGTCGTTTTACCTGTTACCGCGTTTCTAACGGTAAGAACTGGCATCATGTAGTACTCTCAGAGAACTTTTCTTCGTGTAGTAAGGCTTTGGAGTTCAGAGATTTATAAATTTAATGAGACATGGCAGGCTTGAAAATAAAACCCGGGTTACTTCAGTATGAAGTAAGGCTAAGTGAGGGCTAAGTTTCACGTCAGGGACCTTAGCGATTTTAAGGCGCTAAGAGGCCGCGCCTGAGAAAACCCGCGGAAAACTCGGGCCGGCGCCAGACGGGAACGGGCGGGGCCCGAGGCCTGGCCTGCGCGGCGCGGAATGGTGACGTCTCGCGCCGGACAGGAACTGACGTCACTTTTCAGCACAGCCGCTTCCGGTCCGCGTGAGTGTAATTCTTGCGACTGCGGCGGGCTCCGGAACGGTGCTGGCTTGCGGTGCGGTGGTTTTTTTTCAAAAGTAGGCCTCCCTCTCTCCGGACCATGGCTACCGACTCGTGGGCCCTGGCAGTGGACGAGCAGGAAGCAGCTGTCAAGTCGGTCAGTGGCTTCAGCTTCAGGGGGGAAGGAAGTAGGAGGGCCCAGGCGGACCGTGCTTAGAAGGGAGTTCCACGGGTGGGGCAGGCCATCGGCCCACCCGGGAATCAGTACTGATTTGCGCTTTGATCAATTTCGAGCCTTTTTTTTCGTCTGGGCCAGTTAAAAGACTTAATCCTGTGGCAGATCTGCCCCCGCTACGTTTGCTGTCTTTCCTGTATTGCATCTTCCCAGCGGGCATATTAAGGAAAGGCAAATTTAGATGCTGATGCTCATCAAGAGTAGAATGATTATGTGCTCCTCTTATTTTAACATTTTTTTATTTTATTTTGAGAGTACGTATATTAAAGCTGGGGACAGTGAAACAAGGAAGTGTTTAGGATAGAAGAAGCAACAGGAGAGCTCAGGCCAGACTGCTTTGGCTCTCTGACAATGTAATAGGAAAGAACTGAGCCTTGGCGGGGTTGCTGTTGGCTCACTGGGAAGTCAGAGAAAAGGAGGCCTTGGAGACAGGTTCAGGGGTTTAGCCTGCGTAGAGCTGCCCCTGTCTATTGCTCCCCTAATTGCAAGTCTCATGGGGACCCTTAGAGTTTAGGAGATGCACACCTGAGAGGGAAGAAAGGCCTAGGCTTGCTCCCGGGAAGGAGAGCGTCTTATTTGAACATTTTTTAGATCCATGCTTAATATGGTTGGTAGTTTGTAGCTCTGCAGAATAACAGATTTAGGTTTTTATATATTTCAGTCTACTACAAATGTTGTCTGGAGGCAGTACAGATTGTTTCATTCATGTTTAAAGTGGCATTAAGTTTCATGTACTGGTTCTTCTTTGATTAATGACAATCCATTCAACTAGACAGTAATTATAGTGTAACTGACTTTCTGTTCTTATATCTAAATAGGTTTGTTTAGTGATAATGGAGTTGGCTTTAAGAAGATAGTTGGCTTTTTTGGTGGTTTGGGGGGGTTAACTTTTTAATGCGTAAATTACACTTCTTCTCTCACCCTTTATTGCTTTGGGAGGATTGTTATTTTGTCAGCGGATATTTGAAGTGGACTAAACTCGCTGGAAAATAGGAAGAAGCTTTACAATCTAGTTAGGAACGCTAGAATGTGAGAAGTGCTATGAAAATGGGAAGAATAATAACTGAACTCTGAGCAGGGAGAGGACATATATGAGTAAGACAATGAGGGAAATTCCTTTTCAAGTAGCTTACATTTGAGCAGGATATTAGAGATTGAGTCATTTTAAGATAGAGGTGGAGGTGAAAGGCATTTTAGGAAAAAAGAATGCACAAAAGTTTTGGACTTGCCTAGAGAACAGGAATCAGAACTCATTTTTGCTGCAGCTTAAGGTTATTGGGTTGTAGGAGCAGTACAGAAAATATGTAGGGCATGTACTTTGGACCTTAACTAAGAACATAAAGAGGAGAGGCTTTATTTGGCTAATATGGGGATTTTTAAGGACACTGACAACATTAGATTGAGAGCTGGCAAGATTTATTGGACTGCAGAGATCTGAATATATTAGGAGTGATGGAGATTAGTGTGGAAATTCTCAGCAGTTCTGGGAATGGTAGGAACCCTCTCAAAATCCACCTTCCCAGATGCCAGCCAGTGGCCAACCTTCCAAGCTGGCTTTCCTAAGAATAGTAGTCAGGCCTGTTATGTTAACTCTTTTCTGCACAGAACCCATTAGACATTTGGCATTGTTACCCTGGAGTTCAGGAGAACAATCAGGTCAGAGGTGTAAAACTGGCAATTATCCACAAAGAAATAAAAAAGTGTGATATAGTACATGGTTCTGGCACTCTAGAGTTTACAATCTAGTGTTTAGCATTAGATCTTCCCTAAAAGACAGTTACTGAAAATAGGTTTCAAATTCTTTTTTAAACCTATGACCCTGATCTAGCTGTGATATTATATCACATAGGCCTAAACATACTTGGTATCTGGTTCTAAACAATTTGCTTATCAGGAAGCTAATGTCACTTAATGTTTTAAAACATTGCTTCCTAAAAGAAAAATCTCTTAACTTTTTAAATATAGGCAAGAATATAAACACTTTATGGTTTAAAATTTTTAAAGAATAAAAAAAATATTAAAAAAATAAAACGTTGCTTCCTAATAGTTGGTAGAAACCCTCTTTTCATTTTATCACATAGACTTGTGTACATTAGCTTAATAAATAATTCATGGTATTAGATTATCCTATGGCTCTGCTCTCAAATGTTTTCTTTTATTTCCATTCAGATCAGTAATTTGCAGATCAAGGAAGAGAAAGTCAAACCAGATACCAATGGTGAGTCACTACAAGCTGTAAGCTGGATACAAGTTTGCTTCTGTTTTGTATTCATAGCTGTAATGTGAAAAGGATCTTTCATTTAGCATGTTCAGCAAATGTCAGCACTGGATTTGACAGCCAGTAAAGTCAGTTTCACACTGAAGGGGATATATTATTTTTCCATAATTTAGCCTCTGGCTCCTTAAAATCAAGAATCACTATTGGGTTGTATCATCACTGTTTGCTTGATAATGTTTCTTTAAAATTTTTAAAGGTTAATCTGGGTTCAAAACTCAGTATAAACAAGTGAAGGCCTTCCCATGCTGGCCCACCATTTACCCTGTTCCCAATCTCCACCTTTATTAGTTTGCTAGGGCTGCCCTAACAAAGTATTACAAACTGGGTGGTTGAAGCAACAGAATTGTATTGTTTCACAGTTCTGGAGGCCAGAAGTTCAAGATCAAGGTGTCAGCAGGGTTGGTTCCTTCTGAGGGATATGAGGAAGGATCTGGCAAATTTTGGCGTTCCTTGGCTTATAGAAGCATCACCCTGATCTGTCTTCATCTTCACATGACATTCTCCCTATGTACATTTCTATGTTCAGATTTCCCCTTTTTATAAGAACATTGATCATATTGGATTAGGGCCCACCCTAATGACCTCATCTTAACTAATTACATCTGCAGTGACCCTATCTCAAAATAAGATCACATTCCCAGGTGCATTCTTAGGACTTCAGCTTATGAATTTGGGTGGGGGGGTATCCACAATTCACAATTCAACCCATAATACTATCCTGTCCCATAACTAACCACTTATTGGATTATTTGTATTCTTTCAAAGTTTCTTTATGCACAGGAAATACAAATACAGATTCCTTTTCTTTCTCTCTCACCAAAAGATGTCATGGTATACACAGTATACTTACATTATTTTATTCAACAACATACCTTGGCAAATTTTTCCTATCAGTACAATGGAGTTTCCTCACTGTGTTTTATAATTGCATAGTATTATACTGCGTTGTTACACCATAATTTATTTAACCAATCATCTATTGATAGATACTTGGGTTGATAACATTCTTTTGCTGTTATAAACAGTCCTTCATGGAATAACCTTGAACTTAATTCTTTTTACATGTATGCAAATATGTTTATAGGATAAATTCCCCAAAATGGATTTGCTAGGTCAAAGGTATATGCATTTACAATTTTTATCAGTATTTTCAAGGTACTTTTCATAAGTATTGTACCAATTTATATTTCTATTGGTAAAACATGAAAGTCTGTTTCCCTACAGCCTAACCACAGAATTTTTAGTAAAAATCTTGGAATTTCCCCAATCTGATAAGTAAAAATGGTGGACCAGCATAATGTATTTTAATTTGTGTTTCATCAGTAAGGTTGAATATTTTCATAAGTTGAAAAGAATTTATATTTCTTTTTCCTGAATTGATTGTGTCATTTGCCCATTTTTCTGTTGAGTTTTTTGTCTTTTTTCTAAACATAAAGAACTTTGTATTTTAAAGTTAACCCTTTAGCCCAGCCGGTATGGCTCAGTTGGTTGAGTGTTGACCTAGAAACCAAGAGGTCTTGGTTTGATTCCCGGTCAGGGCACATGCCCGGGTTTCGGGCTCGATCCCCACTAAGTAGGGTGTGTGAAGGAGGCAGCCGATGGACGATGTTTCTCTCTCATCAATGTTTCTATCTCTCTGTCCCTCTCCCTTCCTCTCTCTCTAAAATCAATAAAAACGTTAAAGTTAACCCTTTAACTGTGATAGAAGTTGATAATACTTTTGCCAGTTTTATTTGTCTTTCGACTTTGTAGCATATGTATTCTGTAGTTATTGGGTATAGTATCCTATAAATGTCAATTAGGCCAATGTGGTTAATAGTGTTGTTCAGATCTTCTATGTTTTAATTGTTTTTTGTTTGTTGTTTGGTCTAATTCTTTTCATTTTTGAAAGAGGGGTGTTAAAACTTCCAACTACAATTGTGGAATAGTCTATTTCTACCTTTAATTCTGTCTTTTTTGGCCTCCTGTGTTTTGCACATGTGTTTTCAGGTGTATACACATTTATGTCGTTCTCATGAATAGACCCTTTTATATCCCCTTTTATCTCTGGTGATGCTTTTTGTCTTGAATTCTGCCTTATGGGAGCCACTCCAGCCTTCTTATGCTTACTAGTTGCATAATAGATCTCTTTGTATCCCTTGACTTTCAACTTATCTGTGTCTATATTTAAAGTGTGCCTCTTGTAGATAAGTGACAGTTGGATCTTGCTTTTTTTTTAATCCATTCTAATAATCTCTGTGTTTTATCTATTTACATTTAAGGTAATTATTGATTGGGTGTAGGTTAGCAATTTTACTATTTGTTTTCTGTTTGTCCCCTCATATTTTGTTTCTCTGCCTCTTTTCCTGCCTTCTTGTGGGTTAAGTGAATATTTTAGAGTCTCATTTTAATTTACTTATGGGCTTCTTAGCTGTACCTCTTTGCATTATTACTATTTTTTTTTTAAATATATCTTTATTGATTTCAGAGAGAGGAAAGGAGAGGGAGAGAGAGAGATAGAAACATCAATGATGAGCGAGTCATTGATCGGCTGCAGCCCGCAACCCAGGCATGTGCCCTGGCCGGGAATCGAACCCTGATCTCCTGGATCCTAGGTCGACGCTTAATCGCTGAGCCACACCCGGCCGGGCTCTTTGCATTTTATGAGTGTTTTAAAGTTTTCTTCATGTAAATCTCGCATATTTTTTGTTAACTTCATTTCTAGGTGCAGTATTTTGTCTTTTTAGTTGCTATTATAAATAGGATTTTTTATTTATATCTCTATTTGTATTTATCTAAGCTACTGACTTCTGTTTACTTAAGTTGAGACTTTGTCCTGCAAGTTTATAATCATACATTTTATAAAAACTGAACATTTTACCTCTGTCTTTTAATTTTTCTTTCTCATGTTTATGTTTGCTAATATAAAGCTATGTTTTATGATAGGATAAGTAAGTCAGAGGTGACATTCTGATCACTTTGAAGTCAGCCAAAATTTCTAGAAATTTGGAATTTTCTTATGCACTTAAAACCTTCCTAGGAATAAAAATTTATTAAATACAAAGAAATGCCAACTATTTACAGTTTGATCACTTAAATAAGTTTTAGTATTTACATTGTCCTACCTCCTGGGTGGGTTTGATATTTGCTGTTCTGATTATGACAACTGTTTTCTTGTGTAGGTGTTATAAAAACCAGTGTTACTGCAGAGAAAACAGATGAAGAAGAGAAAGGTAACTACTCTTTGAAACCCTGTAGCAAGAGACAGAGTATGACCCACACTTGCCTTTCTGGAGCCAGAGGCACTCTGAGTTACAAGATGAAGGAGCAGAGGAGGAATCCACAAAGGAGACTGAGAAGGCGCAGTCAGTGATATAGAAGGACCAAAAGAGAGTGCTGTCCCAGAAATCCGAAGAAGGAACTTTTTCCAAAGTAGGGAGTCAAATATAGGTAACAAGTCGAATAGGAGAAGAATTAAAAATTGTTGAATTGATTTAGCAGTGTAGACATCATTGGTGGGCTTGACAGGGACTGAGGTCAAGTGTAGAGGTTAAGTAAACCTCTCTTCAGTGAACATTGAACAGAAGGGGAGGAGAGGAAGTGGAGATGAATATAGATACCCTTTTTAGGGAATGAACCATAAAGGGGAAGGGGAGGTGTCACAAGGATGGAGTTTGTCAGATGATTGTGAAAAAAATCTGGTGGCCCTAGCCAGGTAACTCTGTTGATTAGAGCGTTGTCCCCATATGCCAAGGTTGCAGGTTCGATCCCCAGTCAGGGCCCATACAAGAGTCAACAAGTGAATGCATAAATAAGTAGAACAGCAAGTCGATGTTTTTATTTCTTCCTCTCTCTAAAAATCAATAAAAATTTAAAAAAATTAAAAACAAAACAAAAAGAAAACCTACTGGTTTTTTTTCCTGACAGAGGACAGAGCTGCTCAGTCCTTACTCAACAAGCTGATCAGAAGCAACCTGGTTGATAACACAAACCAAGTGGAAGTCCTGCAGCGGGATCCAAAGTCCCCCCTCTACTCAGTGAAGTCTTTCGAGGAGCTTCGGCTGTGAGTATTTGTTCCTTTTAGCTGTTCTTACCTGTCCCTCTCTTATAAAACTTAGCATCTCAGAGATTCTTGTGGGAATTTTATTTTTTAAAATCCTAATGTATTTTATTTCTTTGACTAGTTAATAATTCACATGATTGAAAAGTCAAAAAGTATGAAAAAGGTAACAGTGATGGTCTCCCTCCCACCCTTGTTTCTTGGCTTCCCAGTTCTCCTCTTGATAGGGATTTTTAAATGCCACAAGTTTATTCATCATAGCTGAAAGTCTTTTTTCTTTTATGCTCTTAGAACTTTCAATAAAATATTGGCTGACAGGTGATTTCTGGATGTCAGGAACATTTCTTATTAGGTAAGCCCTTTTGCTAGACTATAGGGTTTATGGTCTTAAGAATAGTTTATCTGTTTTATAAAATCTGTCAAAAGAGCCTGTACAAGATTCCCAGGACCTATAGTGCAAAGCAGCCTTCAACATTCTGGAATTTTTAAAAAATCCAGAATTAAGTCTTAGGGGAGCACGTGTATGGCCTTGTACTTAGAATGACTTCTAATGTGTCATTATTTTAAAGAGATAATTATGAAAACTCATACGAAGTTTTTTGTTTCTTCAGTAAGTTAGTAAAGAGGTGTTTATGGATCATTGGTTTATGTGCATGCCACTGTGCTGGGTGTTATGAGTGACACAGGACTTAGACACCACTCTTGCTGCCTGCCAGGACCCAAATCATTGACCAGCTATTTTCTGCTGGTCAATAATAAAGTGATGGAATAAAGAGATTCTTTGCCTTTATTCAGCAAAATCTCTAGTATGCCTACTGTCGGAAAACAGGGGCCACATTTCTGCTAACTATTATCACAGCTTTAGAGTAAAAGACACTTAAAATGCTAGAGCAAACTAGAACTAAATCAAGTTGTTAATAAATGGTTTTTTTTCAAAGTGTGGCCTTTTTAAAAATGATTTCAGGAAATTATACTTTTCTGTGTCATTTCCTCTCAAGGGCTTCATTCAACAAATCTGTCATCTCTGCTTCTGTTCATAAACTGTATTAGGGAAGCTAGATGTGCTCTATTGTTTCCTGAACTGACAGTTTGCTTTTCCAAGTATCAGTGTGTTTTTTAAGTTCCTTTCATTTAAAGGACTGGAGCTCTCAGTTCAACCAGTGATGAATTGTCCTCTTTGAAAAGGCAAGTTTTCTCTGATTTAGCTGTTAGTAGCCAAAGGAAACAAAGAATGAAACCTAGGTCACCTAATATAGTTGGTCTGTTTTGTACTTAAAAGATTTGAATTAATCTGCAAAATAAAAGAAAAAAATTGAGCCACTGGAAGCTCTTAGATCAATTGAAAATCCTCATTCAGTAGTGACTTTGTTTCCTTGACAACCAAATCAGAATCTGCTGGCGTTACAGCCTTTTCTTCCAAATGGCAGACACCAAAGGTTATGTTTTCAAAGTTCTTTGTGTCTGAGAACCAACACAGACCAGAAGAATTTGCCTTCTAGAGATCCTGTTAAACTCCAAGGAAGGCCTAGAGAACAGAAGTATTGACTTGGTTTGACTTTTCTTTGGAAATAATCTAGTCTGATTTTTTAAAAATTTATTTATTGATTTTAGAGAGAGAGGAAAGGAGAGAGAGAAACATTGTCGATTTGTTGTTCCACTTATTTATGAATTCATTGGTTGATTCTTGTATGCCCTGACCAGGGATCAAACCCACAACCCTGGGATACTGGGACAACGCTCTAACCAAATGAGCTACCGGGCCAGGGCTCTAGTATGATTTTTGTTAAACACCCTGTTTAGAGGTAGCAGAGAGCTTATTGTAAATGTGATGTAAGAGCAACTTTAATTGGTATTTGTTGTGTAGCTGCTTATATAAAAAGTTTGTGCTTTCCTATTCTTGATTTTGATTAGACCTAAATAAATCTGAGCATTTGTAAAGGTCACTATAATAACTGAACCCCTCCTTACCTATGTACTATATAGATCAGCTACTAGAAACTGGCTGAATCAGTTTTCTTACTTCTTGATTTTTCCAAGTACTTAACGCTTGATTTTTCCAAGCTGGCTTTGGAAGGACTATTGAACACAAAATGACTGGTTCAATCTAATATCTGCACTAAGAAATTAAATCCCATTCTCCAAAGGGACTTCTGTGTCTTAGCAGCATAGTAAGCAGTGTTATTTTTAAATGTCTTTTATAATTTATTTTATACCATGAATTAATCCAGGGAACACTTGTAACCCAAGGTCAATCATATTTGTGGGTCTGCTGAAAGCATAAATTTCTCCAAAAAGGAAATTAGTCTATATTTTATGAATTGTATAATAGTTGCAGATTAAGATCTAGTAGGAAAAGATGGTTTTGTTTTGTTTTAGATAGTGTTTTTTTTAAGGCATAGGAAAATATGTCTGACAAAAATAGGAAGCATCATTCTTTGCTAGATATAGGGAAAGATAAAATTCTAGGACTTTAAAACAGTCTCAACAACTAGAAATCCATCTTCTCTCTCCCTGGCCTCCCAGGAAACCACAGCTTCTTCAGGGAGTCTATGCCATGGGCTTCAATCGACCATCCAAGATACAAGAGAACGCACTACCCATGATGCTTGCTGAGCCGTGAGTATGCACCTCTTCAGAATTTGGTTCAATGTCATCCACCAACAGCTGTTACTGTCTTGAGACTAAGACATTGATTTTTTTCGAGACAGTGGAAGAAGGCGGAGGTTGGGGGGAGACATCGATGTGAGAGAGACACACCAATTGGTTGCCTCTGGTACTTGCCCCGAACAGGGCCGGGGATTGAACTTGCAACCCAGGTGCATGCCCTTCACCGGGAATCAAACCCGCCACCCTTTGGTGCGTGGGCTGATGCTCTAACCACTTAGCAACACTGACCAGAGCTGTTTAACCCCCCCCCTTTTAATGTCAAAAATGCCACTTATTTCCATGACAATGGGTTACTTGAAGTAAAATGTGAAAGTTCCCTCTAAAGCATCTGTCTGACTTGGTATCTCACATTTTCCATAAAGATGGGAAAAGGGAACACACAGAAGGACCCAGGGCCTAGAGGCACATTATGAAAATAATGTGCTCAGCAGAAAATGTCCTCAGGGATTTGTCTTGGCACAGATCTTATTCTGTAGTCTTAATTTCCATGGGGCCCTTAAGGTACCTAACTAGGGCACTAGCTTTGCTAGAGCCTAGAATGAGGATTTCTTGGTGTGAACCCATCTAAAACAGTCATTATTTCCCATATATTTAAGCAGTTTTTTAACAACATATAAAAAATATATCATGGTGCTCAGTGCAGAAAATCTGGACTAAAGGGGAAATCTATATTCCAACCACCCAGAAAGAACATTTTGACACCTTTTTTGTGTTGAACCAATATTATTTTCATCTCTCTTCTTCCTTGATCAAGCCCACAGAACCTGATTGCCCAGTCTCAGTCTGGTACTGGTAAAACAGCTGCCTTTGTCCTGGCCATGCTCAGCCGAGTGGAACCAGCGGAGAGATACCCCCAGGTGAGGGCTGGGGAATCCTGAGGTTCTGACTTGCTTGTCCTGAGAAGGGCAGTGCCATCTGGTGGGGGATTGACAGGGGTGCCTCTGGAGGGTTCTCAGTGTTTCCTATGCTTCAAACTGTGGCTGAGGCAGAGCAGGATCTGGGTAGAATTCATTTGGAAGCAGCCTTAAACCATAGCTTCCAAAGGCATCCACCCAGCCAAGCTGAAAGGTTGGCCTGGTTGAAGGGGATGTGGTTTCCTGAACGGTTCAAGTTGTAATAATATCAGCATACTTATTGCTTTGGAACCTGTTGTCTATTACTAAAAGGGTCTCCTAAAGTCATCCTTTATGATCTCCCTGTCAGTGCCTATGCCTCTCCCCAACTTACGAGTTGGCGCTTCAAACAGGAAAAGTGATTGAGCAGATGGGCAAATTTCATCCGGAACTAAAGCTTGCTTATGCTGTTCGAGGCAATAAATGTGAGTATAAAGGGGTGAGCCCTAAGCAGTGAGCAGGGTAGGGTGGTTGGGTGTTTGAATGTTGCAGATGTGGTAATGATTATTCAGCTCTCTGGTTCAATCTGACTTTAGAGCCCAAATGCATTGATTTTAGCAAATCTATTTAATTGTTAATTTCTTAACAGTTCTTTCCACTCTTTTTTTTCCTCTTTTTTTTTTTAAAAAAAAAATATCTTTATTGATTTCAGAGAGAGGAAAGGAGAGAGAGAGAGAGAGAGATGGAAACATCAATGATGCGAGAGTCACTGATCGAGCCCACAACCCAGGCATGTGCCCTGACCAGGAATCGAACCCCGATCGCCTGGATCCTAGGTCAATGCTCAACCGCTGAGCCATGCCTGGCCGGGCTCTTTTTGCTCTTAAAATAAGATTTTGCATTGTTAGAAAATCCCTGAGTCCTGGAGTTCTTCACTGAGAAGACAGGGTTTTGAATTTGGCATCCAGAATTTTGGAAGCTGCTTACTAGAGAGGGATGGCAGCACTGAGGATGCAAGGTAGAGGTCAGATACCTTTTTTAAAAGTAAGCACAGCTTTAGTAAGAGTAAGAGCATGGATAGCTCACTTGGTCTTACCAAAATCAGAAATCCTCCAGAAGTTCTTTCTTCTGTGTGTTCTGCAGAGTATAATACAGAGAATATGGGTTAAAATGGGGAAGAGGGTCATTAGAAAGTTATCAGAATATTAAAAAGCTACAAGTCATTGAGAAAAAAGGAAGCAGTCTAATAGGAGAATAGATAAAAGAGGCCTAGTTGAACAGACACTTCATAAAAAAGAGAATTCAGATGGCCAGTGAGCATGAAAAGATGAGCCTCATTAGTCAACACAAAAATGCAGGTGGGCAAAAATGAAAAAATCTGACAATTACCAGTATTACTGAAGACACAGAACGTGAACACTCACACTCCTGGCAGGGAGTATACACTGATATAGTCACGGTAGGAGACAGTTTCGGTATTACCTAGAAAAGTTGAAGAGATATCCCTGGCCCCAGTTGGGGTGCATGTAGGAGGCAATAATTAACTTGTTCTGTTAGCTCTAGAATGATGGGCAAGGCTTTGATTTCCAGAGCTGGTTTTGCCATGGAAATACCCACAGAACACATCTTGTCTCCACAGTGGAAAGAGGTCAGAAGATCAGTGAGCACATTGTCATTGGCACCCCTGGGACTGTCTTAGACTGGTGTGCCAAGCTCAAGTTCATTGACCCCAAGAAGATCAAGGTGTTTGTTCTGGATGAGGCTGATGTGATGATAGCTACTCAGGGCCACCAAGATCAGAGTATCCGCATCCAAAGGTAAGACTCTGGATCCGGGAGGAACTTCCCAGCCTCCTGATCTGCAAATAAAAATCTTCTTCTCTATGTCTACACCTGTTATATCCAATTCCTCTCTCATGCTGGCTTCTTTGCTTCAGAACCTTCAGAAGCATGTGTTTGATGGGCCATGTCAGCAATGACCATACTCCCAGCCTGGGTTGAGGAAAAAGACTTAGGGAATCTAACACCACCCTTTCTCTGCCCCATGTCTGCTCCTGCCCCTTCCCCACAGTGCTCCTCCACCTCTGCCACCTTCCTAGGGATATAGACCGTCCACGCCCGGGGAGGCTGTGCTTGTTTGTTCCAGTGTGAAACTCAGGGTCATGCCAAACACCTGGGCCTTGCCTTGCAGGATGCTGCCCAGGAACTGCCAGATGCTGCTTTTCTCTGCCACTTTTGAAGACTCTGTCTGGAAATTTGCCCAGAAAGTGGTTCCAGACCCAAACATTATCAAACTGAAACGTGAGGAGGAGACATTGGACACCATCAAGCAGTATTACGTCCTGTGCAGTAACAGAGACGAGAAGTTCCAGGCCTTGTGTAACCTCTACGGGGCCATCACCATTGCTCAAGCCATGATCTTCTGCCATGTGAGTAGCAGCAGGAGCAGGCCTGCCCTAGGAGGAGCTCCATGGAAAGGTGTTGCCCATTCCCCTCCCTCTCAGCTGGCTCTACCTTAGTGCTGAGGAGGACCAGGTTTCCTCTGTGGAGCCAGGAAAGAAACAGTTTGTGAAGATGTAAGAGGCAGTTTCTTCTTGGTGTCCTGAGGTATACATAGTCAAAGCATAGAGCCCCTTCAATTTTACATAACTTGTATGTGATGTATTATTAAAAAACCCAAGAGAATCAACTGATATAAGAAATTAAGATGGTTTGTTACAAAGTCAGTATAAAATAATGCTTTCTAGTCTTAAATGCAAACACTTAGAAAATGGAAGGATAGATTCCTGTTTATAATAACAAAAAAAACACTTTTTTTCCCCAGGAGTAAATATTTAAGATTTCTGAAGAAAATTTCAAAATGTTATTTAAAGGATATAAGAATAAGACAACTCTTACTCTGTTGTTGGAAGACATATAATTTAGAGTGGCATCCCTCTCCCAAGCTCAGATCTAAACTTTCAAACCTATAGAAAAGAAAAAATGAACACTTGTGCCCATCACCTGTTGTCAACAGCCACATTTGCTTCATCCATATCTATGTGTGACATATCTGTACTTTTTCTTTTTTGCTGAATCATTTTAAAGGTAGTTGTAGACATCATGAAAATTCACACCTAAATACTTCCTAAGAGCCCAGCCAGGCATGGCTCAGCAGTTGAGCATCGACCTAGGATCCAGGAGATAGAGGTTCGATTACTGGTCAGGGCACATGCGGGCGTTGTGGACTCCCTTGCAGGTGGCAGCCGATCAATGACTCTCTCATAATTGATGTTTCTGTCTCTCTCTCCCTCTTTCTTCCTCTCTCTGAAATCAGTGAAGATATATTTAAAAATAAATACTTCCTAAGAATGACCTTAGTAATACCATTACTACACCTTAAACAGTGATACAGTGATAGTGATATTATCCCCTAAACAGTTCATCCATATTCCATTTCCCCACTTGGCATGCAAAGGTTCTTTATTGCTTTTGGTGGCTATTGTTAAACCTAAGAGCCAATCAGAGATTGTTGCATTTAGTTGTGTCCCTTGAGACTCCCTTAATCTACAACAGTTTCCAACAGTTTCCCTACCTTTCATGACATGGATATCTTAGAGTCCAGGCTAGTAAGTAGATTTTCTCTGACTTTTCCCCCTTGTGATTATATTTAGGTTAAATTTTTTTGTAAAATTACTACCCAGGTAATGTCGTTTCTTTTTTCTCTTTTTTTTATAAATTTGTTTTTTAAAATATGTTTTCATTGATTTTTAGAGAGAGGAAGGGAGAGGAATAGAGAAATAGAAACGTCAGTGAGAGAGAAATATCCTCGATTGGCTGCCTCCTACACGCACCATACTGGGGATGGAGCCTGCAACCCAGGCATGTGCCTTTACCGGGAATCTAACCAGTGACCTCTTGATTCATGGGTTGACATTCAGCCACTGGGCAACGCTAGCTGGGCACATTGTTACTTCTTGGTATACCATCATGTTAACAATTTTAGGAAATTTAACCCTTTGCTGGTAAGTTTCAGGTAGAATTTTCCAGATCAAAAATATTTTCTTCAGGGACTGATTTCTCAAATGTTTTCATCCTTCAGACCCGCAAAACAGCCAGTTGGCTGGCAGCAGAGCTCTCAAAAGAAGGCCACCAGGTGGCTCTGCTGAGTGGTGAAATGATGGTGGAGCAGAGGGCTGCGGTGATTGAGCGCTTCCGAGAGGGCAAAGAGAAGGTTCTGGTGACCACCAACGTGTGTGCCCGTGGTGAGCAGAGATTTGTCCTGGTCTGCCAGACTCAGAGTAGTGAGAAAAATCCTCATATATGAAAAACTCGGATGGTTTGGGAGAGATCAGCAGGGTTGGTGATGACATTTTTTTCTAGGCGGCTGGATTCCCTCAGCAGATAAGAACTTTCACAGAAGCCTGAGTCCTGACTTGGTGGAAGGAAATGTACAGGCTTCTGACTGGTCTAGAACAGCACCTGCTCTTCTTGGGGCATCCATTGAGGTTTCAGTTGCATCTCCAGGCACTTGTGTCCAGCAGAGGCTCTCTTACTGACTTCATAATTTTGTTAGCACCTGCCAAAGTCTTATGGTTTTCCTCTGGGTTCTGCTGTGTGCTGCTTGTCTGTGAATGCCAGAGCTGGCCCACCCTGACTCCCTCCACCCAAAGTTGGTGCACCAGGCTGACTGTGGGCAAGTGACAGTGACTTCTGTCTCTCATCCTTACTCTTCTCCAACTCTCCTTCATGCAGGTATCGATGTTGAACAGGTTTCTGTTGTCATCAACTTTGACCTTCCCGTGGACAAGGATGGGAACCCAGACAATGAGACTTACCTGCACCGGATCGGGCGCACTGGCCGCTTTGGCAAGAGGGGCCTAGCAGTGAACATGGTTGACAGCAAGCACAGCATGAACATCCTCAACAGAATCCAGGAGCATTTTAGTGAGTCCCTGAGACTGTCCTCTGCCGGGGCCCTTTCCTTATAGGGCCAAATCCAAGGGTGGGTGGAAGAGTAGGTTTTCCCATGGCCCCTAGGGAGGCTTTGTCCCTGTCCCCATTCCCCTCCTTCCCTACAATATGGAAGCTCTCAAAGAGCACACCTGGAGAGTTCAGTGTCAGGGACGTGAATGACAGTTCCCCCTTGGCCAGGCTGGGGGTCTCGGCCTCTGACTGTTGCTGTGAGTGTCTGTTTCTCAGGCATCAGAAGCCTTTGGGGATAAATGAAGGATGAATGTGGCCAGAGGCAGACGTGTTCCTACCCAGTGTGTTTCATCTCCCTGCTGTGCTGCCCCTTCCCTAGGTGTGTGTCTCCACAGTAACCCCATGTTGATTTCTCTTTGATTCTTTTTCTCCCTCAGATAAGAAAATAGAAAGATTGGACACGGATGATTTGGATGAGATTGAGAAAATAGCCAACTGAAAAGCTCCACCAGTCCCTGCACAGGAACCTAGTGCTTTCATAGCATAGATCTGGACAGTCACCGAAAGACAAAGGCACCTACCTCATTTTAAATTACATTTGGACTTGACAAAAATTATGCAAATGATTGAAAAAGGTTAAAGGAAAATTTACATTTTGGAAAATTTCGTCCTTTTCCCCCATTTTTTTAAGTTACGGTTTCCCCCATCTTTGTAATATTCTGGTCACTGTTGGTATCACTGGCCCCAGGATCCCATTCCTGTTTTCCAGCTGGGGGTGCTGGGACCATCCTCCACCCCTGTGCGAGAGGCCCGCTGCCTGGATGGAGCATGGGGAGCGGCAACAGAGAGGCCTGCGAGCTGTCCCCCTCCTCTGTCCCTGAGACCAGTCACAAATGTCTCCTGCACTTGGGGCTATCTTCCTTCTCCTAAAATCCAGAGGTGTCCAGTTAATCTCTTTAACCTCTGTTCTGTGTGCCAGAGGGTATCTTTGTTTCTCCCTGAGTAAGCATCTTGGCTGCTTTGTAAACCTCGGTTTGGGGAGAAACACGGAAGTTAGTGAATCTTCAGACAGGTTCGTTTTGCAAGGGTAGGTGACTCCTTTGAGGATCCAGGCCTGACTTGCCTCTTGGCATTTGCTCTATCTGCTCGGCACCTGGTAGTCAGTCATGGTAGCCAGGAGACACTGGGCAATTTTCTGACACATGCCTGGCGGAGCGAGTTGGTTCTTATCCATGGGGTGTCACACTATGCCTGGAGGTGAGCGGCACAGTTTGGAAAGGAAGTTATGACTAAGTGAAAACTTGGATTATGCTGTTCATCTGTAATAGTGGACCTATTGGTTACTTTAATTCATATGTGGTATGACTATGGACACATAAATTAGAGCTATGCCCATCATTCATTATGTTAAGAAATTTTAAAATAATTATGAAACATTTTACTAATCTCGGTATGTGTTTATTTCTATTTTTCTGGTTATTAGACTAATACATGTTCATTAAAAAATGTATTTGGGTGTGTACCTATATAAAAGTGCAAGTGCTCTCTATCCCCACCTCTGGGGTCACCATTGCTAGCAACTTGGTGAACATTCAATATATTGCCTTCTATTTGCATACATCAATCTACTTTGCTTTTTAAAAATGTGAACATTCTATTTACACTCTTGTGTAACCCGCCATTTCACTTACCAGCATATTTTGTTGATCTTTTATTGTTATCTTTGTGAATCTCTTACCAGCATATTTTGGACCTGTGACACATAGATCTGTGTCACTGTTGACAATGGCATCATTCCAGTGTGTAGCTGCTCAGCATTTATTTCATGGCTCCTCTAGTCATAGGCATGTGGGGGTTTCCACTGTGTTGTGTTGCCACAGTGCCACATGAATATCCTCACTCATCTCTGTGCCCTGCTGAGACTCCCTCTAAGACGTATTCCTGGAAGTAGAGTTGTTGGGTCAAAGAGCAGGGACATTTAAACTTTTAATACATTGCTAACTTAGTTTGCCAAAAGAGTTTTACCAATTTTATGTTACTGCAATTATACAAAAATACTATTTTCTTACCTGTTTGCTAATCCTGTACATTAATTTTTAAACCTTTGCCAGTCTGTATAGCAAAAATAGATTACAGCATTGCTTTTTTGTTTTGTATTTAGTGAGGTTTGGCAAATTTTCAGTTTATTGGATATTTGTATTTTCTCTTGGAATACTGGCCATTCTTGTCTCACATTTTACTATTGAATTGTCAATCTTTAATGATTTTTGGCCACCTTTCTATTTTAGGGAAATTAAACTTTGTTTTAGAGTGGTAGATGCTTTTCTAGTTTATCTTTACAAACTCATTTTTCCTTACTGCTATACAAAAGTTTGATCTTAATGTTAAATTTCATTTTTATTTTAAGAGATCCGGATTTTATGTCACGGCTAGAAAAGCTTTTCTCATCCCATTATTATAAATTATTTACTCTTGTTTCCTGTAGTGGCAGTTCTTGGGCAGTAAATTTTCTAAATTCTTGTAACAAAATGTTTTGCCCTGCTCATTGGCTGTGAGTGATTCTGGTTACCTTAAGTGAGCAGTGACAGGGCTGTGGTGTGTGGGCTAGAGCCATGAAGACTGAGTGAATGGGGAGATACAAAGGGTCCAGATGGGAACAGATATGAATGAGTGAAAGTGAAAGACTGAGTGTATGGGGGAAATCAGGTACGATAGAGAGGGACTGTGCAGGTGTATGTGTGAGGGGCAGATGCAGGCTATAGCTGGAGATGGGGGAAAGGGTTCTGAAAAGAAAGGTTGTGGTTGAAAGGGGAGCAGCTTCCAGAAAGGCAGGAGACCAGGTGAGGGGGGTGGGTGCTCCTACAGGAAGGAGACAGGCAGGGCATGAGGATAGGAGATGGATTCCCAGTACTCTAGTTAAGCAATGCCCACTCTGACCCCCAAACAACAGTGATACAAAAAACTAGAAAATAGAAAACACTATCTGAGCCAAAAACAAGATGAATATTTCTGTGGACTAGCAATGGGGCAGAAATGCAAAGTGGTGAGCACAGCTGAAGCCAAATGCTTGTTGGGCTCCAGTCCAGAAATGGAGTAGCTACAGGCTATTAGGTCCTGTGGAGTAGAGGGGGTCTGGAAGCTTCCAGTACAGCCAGGCTTGCTGCAGGGTAGGAACTGGACTGAACTTGGCCTGCACCATGGCTGGGCATGAGAGTTATGTTAAAACTTGGGGCCCAGAAAGGTGGTAGGAGGACTTGGCCCCCCCCATTCCCTTGTCACCGGTAACTGACACACAGTTCTGTTTACTCTGCCCGCCTGGTCTGTGACATCCCCAGATCAGTGGATGTCAGCAGGCCTGGTTCTAGAATAAGGGCCAAATGAGTGGGGAGCCAGATAGAGTCAACTGCTAAACCCATATGTGGACTGTGGGGAGAGAAGAAATCTAACGCTAAGAAATAAATACTGTAAACATCAAAATTAATTCACCCCAGATAAAGTTCATTTTATGGAATGGCCTGATGAGAACTTTATATATGTTTGGATGCTCAAGGAGAAAGAAAATACATTTCACTAAAAAAGGGCAAGAGCCTTGACCTATATGGCTCTGTTGAGCATCATGCTGTGTACCAGAAGGCTGCCAATTCAATTCCAGGTCAGGGCACTTGCCCAGGTTGCAGGTTCCGTCCCTGGTCGGGGTGTGTATGGGAGGGAACGATTGATGTTTTTCACGTTGATGTTTTTTTCTCCCTCTCCCTCTCTAAAAATCAGTGAACTATTCTTTTAAATATATATAAAGTCAACACCACATCCCCGCAGGATTTGCAGACAATGGTGCTTCCATCAAACTTGAATTATGCAGGGGTGGGTATTTTCTTCCTAATCCCCTTTACTCAGCATCTGACTCAGGAGAATGAGTTTATTGCAAATGTGATCAAGTGGTAATGCCAACCCGTTTCCTGATGTGGTATCTTTGCTGGCTCAAAGCAACATAGTCCTTGGCCAACATGGGGGTGGGGGACACAATTTGGTGGAGCTCCCGATTCTGGAGGCAAGTGACAACATTTGAGAGTGCTGCTGCAACCAATTATGACACACAATGCAACAGGTTTTGAGTAGGGGACCAGGACAAGAAATGGTTCTCAGCAGTCCAGGCTGTGCTTGCCCCGTCCTGCCACCAGGCCTTATGATTCAGCCCACCAAATGCTACAAGGAGTATCTAACAACTCCAAACAGGAGAATTACAGCCCCGAGACCTAGGGTTTTAGATAAAGACCAGTGCCCTCCACAAAAAGTATTCTTCACTTGAAAAGCAGTTCTTGGGCACTGGCAGAAACTGAATCTTAGGACACCAAGTGACTATGGACCCTAAGTAGTCCATCATAAGATCCGTGTTATCTGACCCACTAAATTATAACTAAATTATAAAACCGTTTCAGTGGCATTCCATAGCATGATGGAAGTACGCTTGTTGGTCCAGATTGTCCAAGGAAAGAGCATGAGCAGGTTCCTCAGAAGCCTGGGGCACCTGCTACCATTCTGATTTCCTGCCAACCCACACCTATGGCTTCATGGGTCGTCCCACAGAACTTGGAAATGGAGGGGAAAAGCCCCATCCTGATGCCTGCTGGATCTGCATGCTGTGTTGATCCCTGGCAGTGGACAGTGTCTGCCCTGCTGACCCACTTGGGCACCGTGAAGGATCACCCTCCAGAAGGGCATAGCTGGTGGGTCCAGGGTTGGGAGGCCTCATGCAAAGGGGAGGGTGTCGGGGAGTCCATCCCTCCCCTTCATACATTCCTCCCAACATTCTTGGCCATTACTTGGTCACAGCTCCCCACTGATATTTTGAAACAGATGAATGACTATATAATGTTTTTTTCTTTTTAATTCAGAAACAGAGAAAGGGAAGGAAATAAAAAGTTTGTTTAAATAACTATTGCAGAAAAGGAGATCTGGGCTGGATGCTGGGACCTACCTCTTCCAGAATGGGTATTTATTGTTTTAAACAAAAAAAAAGGAACAACAACAAAAAAGAAATAAATTATTCTGCTCAATACTGTTTGGCATAATTGCATTGTTTTTGTCATCTTCTAAACACTCAAAACAGCCACTTCAGGAAGCATTGAGATGAGGCGGGCAAGAATGGCTGGTGCCTTAGCTCTCTAGAATGGTGGGAGGAGGCCCTGAGAGGCAATTCAACAAAGGCCCGCCCAAATCCACCCCCATTCTTTATTCCACCTACTTTTGGAATTAGGAAGGTACAAACTCAAGCTAAATTCTCAATATATTAACCTTTGGGGGCACCCACTGCCCAGCCCCAACCCTCCTCTAATACCCCCCTGGTTACTATTCCCTCAGCCAGCTGCAGGAACTACACCAATGGCCAGGAGGCTGCTTGGTGGTACCAACTCACTAAGAAAATGGGTGATATTTGTGTTGTCACTGCTGGATAGGGGGTTCCTCTTAGTGGTTTGGAAGCTTCACAGAAGCTCTTTTCCCCTCCTAAGCTTCCCTAACCTTTAAGGGTGAAGACCATCGGCAACTTCCTCTAGGGACTTAAGCTGGATTCAGACGTGCAAGTAGCTTCCAGTTGTAATCCCTTAGTGGTGGTTAGCTTCCCAGCCCATTCCAGAGCTGGAAGTGAAAAGTGAGTTAGAGCAAGAAGGCAGGAGGTGAGCGTGGGGGAGGAGACCCATGGGCAGGGGAGGAGGCATGCAGAGGGGCAAGTCTACTCCTCCCCAGCTAGGCTCCCAGCAATTTCCACGGCCAGCTTAGAATTTTTAAAGAATCTTTGTTGGTCAGCCATACCTGGTAATTTCAGGTTAACTAAATTATGAGCCCAAAGCAAATTCCACCCCCAAGCAAGAGGTTTCCTACTCCTCTTTGGGGTGATATGTGAAGGAAGAAGGTGCATGCACCAGGCAGCTGGGCTCCCCATCTCCAGCCTTCTTTCCCACCTGATGCTCCCTCTCCCTTGAGCCAGCCAAAGACGTGTGTGTGTTTGTGTGTGTGAGGGAGAGGAGGAGGAAGGGAGGGAGACTCAGAGAGACTGAAAGAGAAAAGCAGCAACGCCCCAATCAATCCCAGGGCAAGTTTTGATTTCTTTTTCCAGAGCAAGTAGGCTGGTGAGGAGGCCCAGGGCCTAAGGAGACACTCAAGGTTGTAGCGCAAAGTAGGGGCCAAGGATACACGTGAGTGAGAAGCACCTTACATTTGATGTGAGGGGGCTTCCTTGTCCCCTGCCCAGTTCCTTACACCTGTTCCAGAGTTCGGCCTTAGGCGAATTCTGCCCCCAATCAAAGGGTGAACACGATTCGTTTTCTGGTGAGATACTAAATGCCCTGGTCAGAAAGGCCATTCCATAGGGTGGCCAAAGGCGGGGAGGGGGGGAGGGAGGATGAGGGGACTCACGCGCCCTCTGGATTCTCACTGCATTTCTTTGGTGGGTTGACACCCATCTCAGCCTAAACGATAAGAGAAATGTAGGGTCTAAAATTCTCTCGGAGGCCCGGAGCCTTTTGGGAGAGCTCTGGCTTTTCCTCTGGGTTGGAAGAGCGCTCCCTGGAAACCACCTGGCCCGCCCCTCGAACACCCCGAGGCCACAAGGGACTCCCGCGGAGGGGAGGCCGAGCCGCCGTGACCCGGCCCTCCCCTCCGTTTCCTTCTCGGCGTCCTTGCCGGGTCAGGCCCGCAAGCGCCTGTGACAGCTCCGACCAAGCCTGAGGAAAACACTTCTTCGAGGACAGAAGCCACCTCTACTCTTTAACAAGCGTGAAACAAAATCCTACCCAAGAGCCTAGGGGAGTGGGGATAGACACAGCCGGTTCGCCTCCGAAGGCCATTGATTGGAGGAGACGGGGCCCAGTGCCGGAAGTTGACTCGTTAAACCGCATGATTGGTTGAGATAAACATAGGCTCCGCCCTACCGCAGCGTTGATTGGTGCCAGGCCCCTAGTCTTGTGATTGGCAGGAGACAGCCGGCGCTCGCTGGGCTGCAGCATGATTGGTCCAGACCGCGGCCGGGTGTCGCCCGGGATTAGGCGCCGCGCTCCTGCGGAGGCGTCCGCCATGGGGCTGGCCTGGAGTCCCCCGGCGGGCTGCGCACCGGCGCCTGGCGGCCGGGCCTAAAGAGTCGCGGCCAGACCTTTCTCAGTTGCCTCGATAGACCTCGATCTTGCTGGCCTTGGCCAGCATGTCGATGATGTGGGCCTCGAAGTCGGCGTCGTGCACGCCGGTCTTCCGGAACTCGCCCGCATACCGGTTATTCTCCCAGTAGTGGTGCCAGTTGCCTCGGCTGTCGGCCCCGAACCCGTACACGTTCACCTGCGGGGGAGGGCGCAGCAGGTCACCTCACGTCGGGGACCGTGGAAGACAGTTCGCGGGAGAGCCTCGGGTCGTACTGGGGGAGGAGAAAGCCGCTGCGACCCGACGACAGCCCGGCAGGCCGGCGGCTAATGGATTCCCAGAGCGCGGGGTGCGCGGGAAGCGGGACGTCAGGCGCCGAGGGAGACGGCTGCTCCCTTCCAGCTGCCCTTCCACCCGTCTGACCCCTAGTTCAACCCTGGCTAACTTCCCGTTGTTGTTTTTTTTAATGGAGTACTTTTAACTTCTAAATGAAGTGATTTCAGATTTGGTAAAAATCATTAAAGTAGTACGTTTGGGAAATGCAGATCCATTCCTAGAAATGGAAGGAAATCAAAACCACATGGTTTCTGCCTACAAAATCACATTCTTCTTGAGGCACCCCTAACCCCTGAGAAGCGCTGCTTTGCCTGTTCCACGGGTCCCACTATTTTACCCCCCCGACTGGGCTACCCACCTCATCACACACATGCAGGGCAAAGAAGAGCACCAGCATCCCTGTAGAAGGGTACCGCCCATGATGCTCTGTCCACCTGTCGTGGATGTACTTGAAGAAGGCTGGGTTGTAGATCTGGACCTGGGAGGAGAAAATAGGACAGGTACATGAGGGGTTTGGGGGGCCTGGAGACTCAGGCCAGGCTCTGAGCAGCTTCTGCAAGTTTCTCCATGCTTGCCCTTGGACCCATTCATCTGTGTTCCCTGGTTCCTTGCAGCCTCTGTGGAGGTCAGGCATACCAGCAGATGGGGACACCGAAGGTCCTGGAAGGGCACTAGGGGACACCTGAGCCACAGGACCAGGCACACCAGGAGTCAGATCTATACTGTTTCCATTGAGGTGGGAATAATGAAGGGGGTGGAGGAGGGAGCTTACCTTTTCTTTGTCTACTCGAAGAAAGGACTTCACTGGGGCATAGGTACTGCAAGCAAACAAACAAACAAAACATTTAGATGGCTTTGTGGGACCCAGGGATGCCTTTCCTCCTCCTCAAGCCTGAGTGATGACAGCCTCACAACAAGCCCCCCTGCTTCCAGACTGCTCTCCCACACCACATGACTGCAGTACCTCCCTCAGAAACCTTCAATGGCTCCCCATGCCCTTCAAGATAAAATAAGGATGTTTTATTAGACATGCATCGGGGCCTTCCATATTCCAGCCCCAACTTTTTTCCCCCACAACACTCTGATGTGAACTCTCCACAGGGTGGGTTCGCTGATCATCTCAAACTTTTTATCATCTCAAATGATAAAAAGCTTTGATAATGTGATACCATGTGTGTGCTCTTACCAGTGCCCACACTGACCCTCTTGCTAATCTCACATTTGGCACAAATCCCTCCTTCCTCCTTATTAGCCAGCCCTGACACCCATAACCTACATTACCTTTTCTAATCCCTTTTAAATCTATGGGATTTAAACTCTATAGCATTTATTTTAGCTTTTATGTCTCCCAAACATAAAATCAGGACACTAACTTATACTTCTGTGTTCAAAAATATGTGATAACAATAGGCAAAAGGTGGAGACAACCCAATTGTCCATCACTGGGCGACTGGATAAAACAAAATGTAGTATGTACATTCAAGGGAATACTATTTAGCCTTTAAAATGAATGAAATCCTGACACATGCTACAACATGGATGAACCTTAAAAACATTATGCTAAGTTAAATAAGTCAGATATAAAAGGACAAACACTACATAATTCCATTATATGAAATACCTAGAATAGTCTAACCATAGAGACAGAATGGTGATTATCAGGGGTGGGGAAAGGGGTGAGATGAGGAGTTACTCTTTACTGGCCACAGAGCTTCCATTTGAGATGATAAAGTTCTGAGATGGGTAGTGGTGATGTCTGCACAATAATGTCAATGTACTTTATGCTACTGAACGGTATGGTTGAAATTGTAAATTTTAAGTTACACACATTTTGCACACACACAAATACCACTGTAAGGCAGTGTTTACCTTGGAGGTATAGGAAATGGGGGTGATAGCTAAAGTATACAGGGGTATCTTTAGATCTTTAAAGGTTTTCCTCTTTAGAACATGGAAGTGTTCTAAAATTAATTGTGGTGATGATTATACAACTCTGAATAGACTAAAAGCAATTGAATTGTACACTTTAAAATATATCTTATTTTATTTCAAAAAGAGGAAGGGAGAGGGAGAGAGAGATGGAAACATCAATGATGAGAGAGTCATTGATCGGCTGCCTCCTGCAAGCCCCCCACTGGGGATTGAGCCCGCAACCCAGGCATGTACTCTGACTTGGAATCAAACAGCAATCTCCTGGATCATAGGTCAATGCTCAACCGCTGAGCCACGCTGGCCGGGCAAATTGTACACTTTAAATATGTGAATTGTATGGTATGTGAATTATATTTCAATAAAGCTGTTAAAAAATATATTTGGTTAGCCCTGGCCAGTGTGGCTCACTTGGCTGGGCATCATCCTGGAAACCAAGAGGTTGCTGGTTTGATTCCCAGTCAGAGCACATGCCTGGGTTGCAGGCTTGATCCCTGGAAGGGGGCGTGCAGGAGGCAGCCAATCAGTGTTTCTCTCTCACACTGATGTTTCTCTCTCTCTTTCCCTCCCCCTTCCCCTCTCTCTAAAAATCAATAAAAATCTTTTTAAATAATATACTTGGCTAATTGAATTTCCTGTGACTGGGCAACTGCTCCCGAAGAAAATTCTCAGAAGGCAGAGCTCCCACAGTCAGGAACCACCTCCTGGAAAGAACACCAAAACCAGATTGTTCTTTCCACACCTTTCCATCACCAGTATGCTGGCTGTCACCATGGAGGAATTGACAACATGTTTGGTCCTTAGCTAATGTACCATTTGGGCCCCTTCCTACAATTGCCTCCCTCCTCACCCACCCCTCTTGACCAAAATATTCAGTAAAAGGAACCCTAAGATCCAGTCCCCAGGAAGACTCCTCCCGGGGGGGGGTCCTGTCAAACATATTGCACTCCCAGTCAGCAGGGCAGCTCACAATCGAATCTGCCCTGTGGACAGAGCGCTGGCGATCCACAACAGGTCCAGGGCCTTGAAGGGCACCAACACAAAGCTGACGTTGGCAGGCAGGTTCTTGGCACTCTCAGGGTACATGAAGTGGTGGGTGGTTCGGCTGCCAACATCTTGCTCAAAGCCCACAGTTGGGGCCTGATTCATTCTGCAGGGACAAGAGGTTGACATGAGAAGAAACTGTCATCGAAATTGGTACAAGATTTTTAGAGGACAATTTGGTGCAAGCCATCAAAAATATAAATGAATGTACACTTTGATCCAGCAATTCCATTTCCAGAAACCCAGCCTATAAAAATAGGTGCATAAGCGTGCAAAGACATGTATACAGTGATATTCAATGCAACGTCACAATAGTGAAAAGCAGAATCAATCAAACAATAAAGAACTGGTTTATACATTTGGCCCATTCAAATAATGGAATACCATGTGACCATCAGAATGAATGAAGTAGATTTTACATGTACTGGTAAGAAGTCCAAGAGCTATTCGGTGAAAAAACCAAGTGGTGTCAGGTATCCCACTTATTTCCTTATAATTATCTCTCGAATCACTACTGTGTGCAGCAAGAGGGAATTACAACACAGAAAAGGAAAACTTAAAATTTGGTAGTGTGTGTCCTGGCCAGTGTGACTGAGTTGGCTGAGCATCATCCTGTGCACCAAAAGGCCGCCGGTTCGATTCACAGTCAGGGCACATGGGCTCGACACCCAGTAGTGGGTGTGCAGGAAGCAGCCTATCAGTGGGCTCAGAAGACATTAGGAGGAGGAGGCATTTAGGTGGGTAGAGCCATCATCTCACTGTAACTCAGCTTGACCCTCCCAGTAGGGTCTTACATTGGCCCTGCTTTCAAGAAGGGAGGCCTCCCCACTGGTTCCAAACCAAGATATGCCTATGAGCAGAGTCGCCTCCACTGCTAACTGGCTCCCTATCAGTAGACAGCCAATTACCATCTGGGTCACCCCTTCCACAAATCGATTCTGGGGTCCACTGCAACATACCACATTTCCTAGCCTGGTCCCTGTGAGGGAACATGTGTGAATTCCTTTCTGCAGCCTGGCCTAACCGGGTGCCACCCAGGTGTCATAGCAAGCAGCCAAGCCTTTTTTCTTGTCGGTTCTTTTTTCTTGTGCTGCTACCCTGGAGCTGCCCAACCATCACCGAGGTGTAGATGGCAGGGCAAGAGAGGCAGGGACTTCATGCCGTCTAGAGCATTTCCCTGGACTTCCCAAGTGTTCCAGGGCTTCACTGGGGTGATGGACACTTTATTCCCCAATCTCAGCCACTGTCTCTAGGTAAAGAGAGGCCCCTCTTCAGCTCCCAGCTTGCCTCCCTTGCATTCTGGGTGCCAACAATTGGACGATGGGGAGAATCTCAGGTGCCTCTGGGTTTCGGGATGGGGCTTAGCATCTCCCTCCCCTATACGCCACCATTCTCAACATAAGAAGGATTTTGCAAGGAATGTGGAAAGCCTCAGAGACATATTGCTGCCTTGGTGTTGCTATGGAGACAACAGTTTCTAAGACAAAGCCCTTTCTTCCTCCTCCTGGGAAACCTGGTCCTTCTGCAATGCTCATCCTAAGAGATACTTTGTGAAAACTGGGCATTTCAGTAGCTTATTCTTAAGGACTCTTCCTCCAAGGAATGGGACAGCATTTCTTGTCCCCAAGTATAGTGAAAAAGTCAGAAAACCGGTTCAGAGCAGAAGGAGCAGCCCATGCTCAGCTCACAAGTCCATTCTTAGTATCTGTCCACCCCCAGACTTCTTACACTATGTCTGTCTGGAACAAATGCCCACCCAACCCTTCTGTCCTCAAGGCTGGACACTAATGTGTTGAATGAGTAAGCCCCCACATAATCTAAACCTTGCGACATAAAGGACAGCAGTCCAGAGCAAGCACCAGACAGCTTCTGCCTAGGATATCCCTCTTCTGGGAATCTTCTGGGAGAAATCACCTGTGACCATTAAGCAAGATGCTGGTTTGATTTGGGTCCCTCACCCCTGCCGCAACTACTAAGGAAACCAGGCAGGTAGGAGCAGCCAGTCAGGAGTCTAGTTTCAGCTCTTTTCAGAGTAATTCAGAGTTGGAAACTGAGTACAGGCCTCAAGTAAAGTCTTGAATGAGAATTCTGCCTCCCCATTCACCCCAACAAAGGTGAGAACCTATCACAGAAGGTTCTGGGTGTTAGAGACCTATAGCAACCCCAGCAGCTGGCAACTCCTACACTGCCAGACAAGGCTAAGGAGTCCAGTCCCCCCCTCCTAGGCCTCCCCTCAGGCTCTCCGTGGCTCACCTCATGATGAAGTTGTGCCCGTCCACATCTGGCCCGTAGCCAGAGCCCCGCAGGTTGCCGGAGTTCCCCACCACTGCACAGCGCCGGCACTGCTGGGGGTCCCGGAAACGGTAGGGGTTCTCGCCTGGTACTATCTGGAACAGCTTCTCCAGCACCTCATTAGTGTTGTGTGACTTGAACTGGGGCTGCAACATCTGTAGAGGGGAGGAGAAGGGAGTGGGTGTGAGCAGGGAGGGGCTCCTGCCTGCCTCCCCTCCCCTGATCCTCCGGTGTCTAAGCCACACACAGGACTCCTAATCAGGCTGTCAGGGAGCAGGAATTCTCTGAGCAGTGATGACCCTCCACTTAACAACAGTAAAGTCTCCCTTCAAGCTACTCTGATGCACTGGAGGGGGCTCAGAGGTCAGGGAACATTCTCCAGGGACCTGTAGGCCTGTGCCAGGAGCAGAGAAACTTCTCGGGTGGGCTCCTCATGCATGAAGAGGCCCCTGCTCAGCTGTCCCCTCAGGGCAGCTGTGAGTCATATAAAGAGGTCCTTTTCAGGTGCAGGTAATGTGGAAAGTCCCGCTGAGCTGCCGAAGCTCTTTCCAAGTCAGTCTACAGGGGATGCCCCGGGAACTCGGCCTGCAGTCTGGGGGTGACAGAAGCTACGCGGGGCAAAATTCCCTGGATACGTGAAGCTACTCCCTGAGCCCTCCGGGGAAGGTAGAGAAGCACAGAAATTCTTTCAATGCCAGAAGAGCCAGAATGAAACTGGTTCCCTGCATGTTTCACCACCAGTTATGGTGAAAAACACAAAATGAGGTCCAGGCAGCACTTAAATGCCTACAGAGCCAGGCAAGTGACACACAAGAATGCCGTCGCAGGTGGGACCTATGGCAAACAGGAGGCTCCATCCATCAATAAGGGGCAACTTCAGTCAATTGTTGTCATGTGGGATTGTGAGCCCAGAAGGACCAAGTTTTAAAATTTTTCAAGAAAAGTTGAAAATATGGATTTCATGTGAAATATTCTGATTCATAAATGCTGACAACAGATGCAAATATTTGAAAAACATTGAGTGGGCTGGCCTTGGTCCACAGGCCACCAATTGGTAAGGTCAAACCAGGGCTTTAAAATGTCCTGTGGCCTGAGCTGTAATACCTAAGGTTTGTGGCAGAGCAGGAGTTGCTCAGGGGACAGAATACATAGAGGGGGTGGGGTGGGCCAGCTTCTCTGCCTCTTCTGAGTACAGAAAAAGGACTCTTGGGAACAAGAACACGAACTCAGTCTGGAGAGGGAGCTTAGTTCTGAGACGAGAATTCCTAAATTCATGGTTACAGAGGATAACTG